ACACGCCGCCGCCGCTAGCGACTGCAAATTAAAAGTCAAGAGTCAGTCCTACCAAACTCTTGTAAATTGTCAAATAATTCAACATCTAAAATATGTAATATAACGGATTTTGTAACTATATCTGACAGTGACGTCTATTTTTAACAGCCAGTGGTGGAACAGGCCCTAAATCTTGCGAATATAATCCCCAATAGCCTAATGGTTTGGGGTACTACCGATGTTGTGGAAGGTACGAATCCCGCCATTCGACTATTATGAAGCATATCCTAGCACAAGACTAGTTTAGGTTAGTTGGAATGGTTATAGGAAATATTAGTAAATTAACGAAAATCTACTAATAAAAAAACATATGTATATTTTCTTGAAACGTCAAAATTGGCCAACTTTGGTATGTTTAACATACTTTTTCTACACAATAATAATTCCTCACGAATATAGACACATTTACTAAAACTGGAATAACCGATTTGAATATTTCATTCGAAAGACATGCTAAAACGTATGTATGTTAAGGTCTGTAGCCCATAAATTCAAGAATTGAAAATGTCAAATTAACCAGCAAATGTCAGGGATTTCAAGTTTGAGATAAACAAAATCACGCGTTGACATCATTATTCTAATAATAAATTCATTATTCACATAAATATTTACATGGTTTGAATAAAACTTAATTATAATAGGCATCCTCAATATTCCTCATCTTTCCTAATATATTTTTACTAGCTTTTATTTATTCATTTTGCCCGCGACTCAGTCCGCGTGGAATTAAAAAACACAAAAGTATGCCTATGTATTCTTCCAGACTATCCTCTACGTCTATACTAAATTTCATCCAAATCCGCCCAGCCGTTCAGGCTACAAACTCTAACAAACATCCATCCATCCAAACTTTCGCATTTATCATATTAATATGATAGTTATAAAAAAACATACCTGGGTGAACTTGAATAATGCAAACGCGGAGGTACTATTATCAGAATAATTTCCTCCCAGTATTGAGTATATCTGTGTGTTGAAGCAGGCGTCGCCGAATCCTAGCAGAAAACTGCAGAACATCGCGAGGTATGGAGAAGGGTTGATGTACGAAGTCTCCATTGTGTCTCCGAAAGGTGCAACGTTTGGTAAATTGATGAAGATCAGGAAGAAACTGGTCACGTGGATGATGTAACCCATTATCACAATAGGGTCGCGACCCCAACGGGTCGTTTTAGATCCGAGAATACCGAATAGAGCTCCACCTGGAATATGTAATGAATATATTACCGTAGGATTCCACTGCCAAAATATATTATCCTGATGTTATTCCAATTACTTTACGACAATATAAGATTGAAACCAAAAACAATAGGGAATATGCATGTGTTTTTTTCTTTTTCTAAATGATTCTACTTGTTATAAATAATCAGAAAAAAAAATTGACGCGAAAATATTCAACCATTGAGCTATTATGGTTATAAAGTATACTTAAAAAAAGTTTGGTACAATTTGGCGTCATATGCATATTGCCTATTACACACGAAAATGACGCATTCTAGCAAATACTACCTATGTAATATTAATGGTGCATATGTCTCAAATAATCTATGTTATTGACGTAAATTTCTATCATATTATTTAGCTAGCACTATTTATAGCTTAAGTATTCGTGCATCATAGTTAAGTTGGTCCAACAAGCAACGCTTTCATCTTAAAAATGTTCAGCGTTAAAACTGTACAACTAGAACATACGTACTCGACTATTGTTTTTGTCGAAACGTGAATCGTATTGTTATCTCTCTCACTCTCATTGGAATAACAGAGACAGCAATATGTTTTAATGTATGTTACGGATGACGTACGATACGGTAATAGTACATTACGAAACAAGCTGCGTGTTTACAGCTACATTTTTTGCAATTCACGAGACACGCGAGCACTAAATTTTGGCACATAAGTGTGTGTCAATGCAATCACGGTTACAAGTACAGACAGCAAAAATGTAAAAGCATAAAATTTACAAATTAAATTTTGTTCCTTATAAATATAGCTTTAATTAAAATAGAGTATTTTATCTGGAATATGTAAACATATTGTATACCATAAAATTCAAACCGTAGTAATGATAGTCCATCTATATTTTTGGCCTGAATACGTAGCATAGCTTCAAAAATAAAACATACTAAGCGAATAACTTGAAATGATTATTTAATTTATTTTATTCTATTAACCGTACTGTTTGATCAAACTCACACGCACATTGGTAATCAACTCACAAACATACAAACTCTTTTCTGATTACATTGTACAGAAATACTTTACAAATAAATCGTAGTAAAATTTACACGAATTCCTTTTCATTTAAAAACACTCTTTTAGAGAGTAAAATACAGTAAACACTTACTATTGTTTACATGCAATGGAATTTCACCTTGCACGTGGCCGATTATTTTCAACATTATCTAACAAGTACATAATATGTTTGCTAATTCTTAAATGTATATAAATGTTTACTCAGATATTAATCACTTATAAACGAGCAAATATTATATCAACGATAAATGCGTGGGTGCAGTTAATTCTTATTGTTGTATAAATTCTACATATGAGACATCCGGACTTTATTACCCGACCGTCAGGGTAATATGTACGGTAATAAACATGGTAATAATGGTAATAAAAATGGTAATAAATATATCAACTACTATAGACCCTACTAAAGGTTACCTTATAAAGATTTAAGTATAAAAATACTCACCTAAAACCTCTCCCATTCCAATGAAAACTCCGGACAAACCGACCAGTTGTTTAGCATTCTCTCCCATAGACAATGTGAACCCAATACTAGGGCTGTACACACCGCTGAAGAAGGACAACTCCACACCTGAAGATAGAGTAAATCGGTATCATCTATCTGTCTCTATCACATTCTATATGGAATGCACGCACAAGAGAGAGCAAAGTATATGTCGAATGTTTTGTGTAAATAATTTGTAACCCGATTAATCTGACCAAGGTAATTAGATATCTAAGAAGACTTAGTAATAAAACTCTCAAACAAAGGTGACAAAAACGTAGTAAAATCCATATTAGAAATTGGTTTATGCTTGTATTTTATCATACATACTGTCTTGATACAAACTTACCCGTATATATGAATGTGCAGCTAAGGAACATCATGTCCCGTGTGCAGAATAACTTCAAAGCACCCTTGAAAGCCTCCATCGGGCCGTCGTCTTCGTGGCTTACAACATCAGTCTATAAATGTTAGGTGTAAATTTAGTGTTTTAAACGAAAACAATTGAAAACAACATAGAAGTCAAAGGTGTTTTAAGCAAATAAAAGAATGGGAAAATAGGATAAGCTCTTATAATAAATACACGAATAGAGGAATTTTTATTTTTCCTGTACCATAAGTTTAGACAACTTGCTGGCATTTGAATATTTTTTTGCTATAAAACCCCTCTATTACATGGCAAAAATTAAGTCAACACACATACAGATTGTTAACACACAGGAGTTAATAAAGAATTGTTAAAATAAAGCAAGTGCAATACATTGGTACCTCTTGGAATTTCACCTTAACATCATCAAGTACTTGTGGGCGCCTGATGGGCCGCAATAGCAACAGAAACACCATCCCCAGCGCGCAGACCGCGGTCAGCACGCCGAACACTACGTTACGTGTCTCCAAGTCTATGTGCGTTTTGCCTTGGAACTTTATAAACACGAACAAATTTCCAAAGAATAAACTGTAACAAGGAATTACATTTAGTTACAAGCAATCTTAAATCTAATTTCTATAAGATAGCAAACAAATGACTCCTAAAAATGTCTATATAACTGATGTTGGTATTGTCTTAAGCTCAAGTTACCTGCATTGCAACATAGCCCAGAAGATGCCGGAGTTCCTCGAGATGGTATCTGCGTCGCTGTTTAGAGTGAGGTAGTTTCCCTGGCCTGTCCAGATGGCGGCCGCGCCAGCGCCTATCAACACACTCGCTACGTACAGCAGCCATGTGCGCGGGAACAGGAATGTTACTATGAAGAATCTGGAAATTCAAACAGATCTTAAACACGGATCTATCGACAATTAACTCAGACTCTTAACCCTTAAGGCGAAAGTGTGGTCGTATGAACAACTCATTAAAAAAATACTGTACTAGTTAAGAGAAAGATACGAAAAATTTTGATTTTAGAATCCGCTCCGTCGGATTAAATGTTAACTGTGTATAATTAGGCCGAGACGTTTGAAATAATAATGTATCCCAAACACAATAGTTTTTGTACGATATTGTAACCTTGCAAGGCAAAAAGAGACAGGCGACAAGTATAACAAACTCGAATAGAAGATATAGTAGATGCTTAGTTTTGGTACTGGTTTCTCTGTGCATGCAAGCTCAAAACGTGTGTGGCTCAAAATCTAACGTGTGTGGCTTGTATAATAGAAATTAGATCAGTTATTTAGTTACACAGATTATCTCTCGTATATAAATAGAACAGTTAGGGCCTACCCACTAAATTGTAAATTGTCTAATAACAATCCGACGTGTTAAAGATGTGATGGAAATATCAGGTTTTGTAACCTTATCTGACAGTGACGCCATTTCAAACTATCCGAGCCTCTATCAGCCAGTGGTGGGACAGGCCCTTAGTCTAGTATAGTACAACAAGCCTAGAATAACTAGCCTGATATAGGCAACATATTCACAATCAATTTCATTCAATACCCACCTTACGTTACTTTGTTTTTCCATAGCCGAAATATTTACATAATACATATTTTTAAACCTCTTATTTTCTTAAAAAAAAACAGAAGCAACGTTTTAAAATGTTTCATGATCGTACATATGGGAAACTGTTTTTTTTTAACTACATAAATTTGCGATAAAATACACAAATACATATGGATCTTGGCACCGGATGTGTAGCAATCAAAAATCGCTATGATAACTAAAATTTAATTAAAATAGAACAAGGAAGTATTTCACTTGATATGAAAATTACGGTTGATTATTATTTATCAATTATTTATAAATACAGAACTCTACATCCAGGGTTCCATTCATTTAACCCTTAAATGCATGATTTTTTTAAATACCCTAAATTGAAACGGGTAGAAAATTTATCAAAGATCAAGGGAAAAAGAAAGAAAAAAGTACTTTTTTAAATAATCTACTGGGTATGGAAGTAAACACTGATGTATAAATGCATCATACATTAAGGGTTAAATTAATAGTTATGTTGATAAAAATATAGACGAAGAATCTGCATTAAAATAATAATATACTCACGTGTATTCGTAAATCCTCACGTGTATGTAAATTAATAATAAATTAAATAAAAGCTGTGCTAAAAAGATCTTTTATTGGCAATCAGTTTCAGGTTTTCTATCAGTCGTTTGATTTTTTATTTTAAAGAATTTATAATCACCCAGGCCACAATGATGTCATAATTTAAACAACGATCTCGTTGTATTGTATTAAAATTTGTTATTATAAAATCGTAGAAATGGATACATAACATGAATTTAATAGTAAAACACTGTTTTGTCACAGGAATACAGATGTCAACGTATTAAAACCGAAAAACATACTCTTGACAATTTTTATTGTGGCAAAAATAAGAAACCGAATAAAGTCGATTTTAGACTTAACATCATTGGTGGATCAATTAAACTACATAAAATTATTAATGGGAAATATCCACATCGAGGGTGAGGGTAGGTAAAAAAATTGAAGAAGGACTCCCGAAGAGTCTTAAACCAGTCGGTGCCGTCACTGGAGGATAAAAGCGTGAGTTGAGTCGTTTTTAATTTTCGCTTAAAGTAATGTCTCACAATAGTTTTAACAATTTAAATATAAACGAATTAAAAATTAATTGTGTCCAATTATAGAATTTTAAGTAATAATTGTGTCTTTCTTAAAATAATTCAAAAAAATCGATAAATAGATGTAAATTAGGTAGTATGCAGAAAATCTTGTGCAACAAAAAGGTCGCTCAACCGTACCCGGTCACCTCCACTAAATACCAATGGAAAACTTTATACATAAATGTCATACGGGTACGGGCGGCACAAAATCTGCGGCTAAAACAGTATTGAACCAAAGCAGATACAATCCCGAAATAGAATTGAACTGCAATCATATTATTTTTCACAAGCAATCCAAGATTTTTTTCAAATATAAAGTGTTAAATAAATTACTCGAAAAATCCTAATACTTTCGCAGGATTAAATACAAGAAAGCTTATTATAACAACAATAAAATACAAATTGAGGTCAAGTACAACCCGATATAAAAGCAAGAGAAAAAGGTCATATATCAAGGTCTGCAATAAAAACATTCCGAGCAGCGTCTGCAAATTGTCTGCTTGCATAAGCCTGATTACATCCAACCCTTGTGACACGGGAGATAAACCAACCGATAAAATTGTTTGTTCGCTAGGAAATGGGTCACAAATCAAGAAATTCCCTTCTTAACAACGGCCTTTACCAGATAACTGCTAGGTCACTAAATAGACTGAAGACAATAAACGTGAATTAACTTTTTTTTTTCAAATAAATGCATATTCAATAAGCAAACAGCTTCTAAACCCTAATGACGGAGAACTTGCTATATGCCAAGATGACGTTATTTTGAGCAATCGAAACCAACGAATAGATATACGTAGTAAACGTAGGTGTGCTTAAGATTTCGTACTGAATTCCGGTTAAGCGACATTGTATTGGTAGGTGTGTCGGTTGACGTGACACACCTACTTTTATACTGTATTTTACTTTTATAAAAATCCAGCATAAATGTAGATATTGATCGAGTAAATGAAATAAACATGTCAAGATAACCATGAGTTTCCATTGCTAATGTGATAATACTAAATCATACGCGTTAACTTTGTCTTTACAAAGATAATAATAGAGATAACAGTGTTTTTTCCAGGGTTATTTCGGCAGTGTAAACCTACTTTAACGAAAAGTAGACAGCCTTGATTGCGCACCGGCGATATAAATGTCCCGCGGTATGTAGATCAATACATTGCACTCGCAAATCAACGAGGCTTTACTCGTTCGATAGTAAGCGTAGTTAAAGAAAATAAAAAGTAACCACCCATAATTTGAAACAAAGATAGCTAGCAATGCATTTGATAGGCATATGCGATAAAAGCCGAACGTGGACAGCATATTGCATAGATGACACATAACTTCTTTCTTCAAAGTCTGCATAGTCTAGGTAACAGCCAGACATAAATCTTTACAGCACAAAGAAATTCTGTACAAAAGCGATAAACCGAGGAACACATTTTGAATGGTATGTGGTGTTCTCTTGGTGTTATATGCACGTATACACTATAAACCAAAGGCTTGTTTATTTAGAGCGCGCGCACACCTTGACAAAACTATCGTACAACTATTTAGTCGTGCTTTTATTCCTATGAACTTAAATGTAGGTGCGCATAAGGTGTACGCCCGCTCTTACCATTATTGGAGATTCTTAAAAGTTTTTACGTATTTAAAAAGTTTTGAAACTTTTAGAATAGACCCGATTTCTATTTTGTGCCTAGCATCAGTTAGTGTATATCGAAAAAAAACAAATTAAAATGCAAGTGGCGACTCCAAAATAACGGAAGACTTGTGAACGTTCTGGGGCCCATCGTCTAAGAGACCAATGACACTGAATTAAATTCCTCAAGACTATCGACGTGTGTGTGTTTTAATAATTCACATTGTTGCGAATGTTTTATTTTATATCGAGAAGACAAAAAATAACCAAAACCGATAGAAAAATATTGACAAAAGGTTTCGAATATCATGACACTTGTCATAACACGCATTGTAGTCTCATTAAGGCCGGAATACACTTGCATGTAAGGTACTTACACTTTCAGGCATGTGTATATACTAACTGGCTTGACTTTGACTTATTGTCTCAAGAACTGGCATGCGTATACGACGTGCAATAGGCATGTATGCTACTGTCTGATTTTACTGGTATGTATTAAAGCAGTAATTCATTATAATAATTCTATTAATATTGTCTAAGTTATTAAAATAGTAACAACTACAAGCAAGGCCGTAGCGCCAAGGCTAAAGAATGTTATCGAAATAAAGGTATGCAATGTCATTGTGTCTTAACACGCAATATTTAACTGAATTGAGCACTATACAATACATTCATACTTAGTAATAATTAGTAATAACTAGCTTTCGCGACTCTGTCCGCGTGAAATTAAAAAGAAACGGCAGTGAGTAACCCATGTGTTCTTCCAGATTATCCTCTACGTCTGTACCAAATTTCATCGAAATCCATTCAGCGGCTACAAAAATAACAAACATCCGTCCATCTAAACTTTCGCATTTATAATACTACTAGCTCTTGCCCGCGACTTCGTCCGATTGAAATTAAAAATTAATGAAAATCATAGCCTACGTTACTCACTGATAATATAGCTTTTAGATGGTAAAAGATTTTTGAAATCGGTGCAGTAGTTTTTGAGTTATACACACAAAAATACAAATCTTTCCTCTTTATAACATTAGTAAAGATAATAACATTACAACGGTATGTACCACGATTTTGACAAACCAGATGTCGAGCTCTATATTAGATTCTAGACACCACGTAAAGTAATGACTACGTGTACATTCGATAAACGTAATGTTGTTATTTAGCGCGTATCATTCATCGGTGCGTATATCACCCGCATTGATGGTAAGATACGGTCTTTGAGTCTCGCACACTAACACTGGTGAAATAAATACTATATACACAATATATAGTACCGGAGTTTGAATTGGCTGGTGCAAAAGATTGCTCTTGTTCTCCATGAACCAATAGAAATTCCGTTTACCTTACTAATATTATAAATGCGAAAGTTTGGATAGATGGGTGTTTGTTGCTAAAACGGCTGAACGGAGTTTGATAAAATTTGACATAGATTGAGAGGATAGCCCGGAAGAACACATAGGCTACCTACTACTGTTTTTTTTAATTTCCCGCGGATGGGTGAAAGCTAGTGTATTACAATGTTCACCAGCAACGAAGTTAAATTATTACTGCTTTGTCCAATTAATCGTTTGCATAGCTCTCTGAACTACATATAACTTATTTAGTCAAAAGTATACAACCTTTTTCTAAACAGTTATGTAGATATTTATCAAATATGCATAAGATTTTTCTTACTTACACAATTAAGAATTTACTCATGTACTATTCAGGTACAAGTATCATGGGAGTCCATTAATATACGATTTCCAGGATTTAGACCCGACATGCGTTTTAAGTTGTTTTTTTATTCGTTTAAAAGTCAAATGAAAATTGAATATATTTACATTGGAACTATAAAATAAGTTTTTTTAGACAATGTGTCCTTTAAAACTTTAATGTGCTAAGAGACGTAAAATTCGATAACGGCGAAGGCAGGGGCGTTAGAAGAGCAAAGGAGATACCGCCAGATAGAGACAGATATCGACTGTGACTGTAATTTATGATTTTAGAAACATGTTAGTATTTAAAATTGCCGTAAAAACTGCGATAATTAAAATAAATTGTTGTATCTATGTTGAGTGAAGGAGATGCACGATAATTTCTCGTATTCCGGCTACAGAAACCCTCAAATAGCACAAAATTGTTACAAAGCATGCCACGCGTCATAGTAGGATGCTCGCAAAGAATTTGTCTGATGTAACAGTGATCCGAGATCTGATCAGCGGCGACGACTAAATGCCGACAACTGCGCAGCACAACCGCAAATATTTCGCAAGACAATGATAGCAAGTGAACTAGTACACACGTCCTCATAAATCATAGACTTTATTACATTATTGTTTATTTGTACACTACTGTATGCTTACGCAAATCTTTCCTGTTGAACACTGAACAAATCAAGATACTGTTAAGTAACATATAAAACTTTCTTATATACCAACTTTAAACAACTTTTAAAATTAACACGGTAGATCGTTTTTGCCGGCAAAATCTTTTACAACTAAGTGGCGATTTTTTATTCAAGCATTCATGATTTGAATAAATAACTAGATAAACTACAGCCTTTATTTTTCATATTCAAGAATATTAAAAACTAAAAAGAGAAAGAAAAATTCGTTATTATTTGTTTTAAACATTTAAACGTTTACACGTTACAATCACTTTCGGACAAATATGAAGACATTTATCTTTTATGCAATGATTTCTTATCCAAAAAATGTTTTACATGTCCCTAAAAGACTGTTTATAGCCTTTCGGTGGATTATATTGCAAAACCTATGTCGTAACGCGAATGGCAACGTTCGAGTAACGATAGTTGTTATCTATACAATCGACGGTCACTAGCTGTGAAACTGTGAAGGCCCAGACAGTTAGGTAATAAAGGAAAACTGTACAGCTTTGCTTCCTAGAGAATTGAATATAGTTATAAGTAATCGAGTTCTTAATGCTAATAAATATAACAATACAAACAATAGACGGAAATAAAAATGTATAAATAAGGAAGTTGATACAAACAGAAGGATAATCAAGAATACTAAGCTAAAGTTAATGAGATGTTCAACAAAATGATAGAAAACCAATGTGGCAGGGATTATTCTTTTAACTATTTTCCCATGTGTTTATAATTTCTTTAAATAGCAATTGCTAATTCTGCACTTTTCTTAATTACATATTCCTGTAAATGCTGAATAGAGTAAGCGGATTTTATAGTTAAATAAATATAAACTTACAGATATGTGAAGGCGCCAATCAACATCGCGCCTCTAGGACCGGTGATGGTGATGACGGAGGGTGCCAGCCAGTTGCAGACCGCCAATGTGGCGTAGATGATGGCCAGCGATGTGTATCCATCACCGGTGAACGAACTGTCATCTTGCGTTATACTGTCCAGTATGGTTTTCTGCAGGAACACATATTGGTTAAAGTTTAAATTTAAAAGCCATGTAGTTTACGTCATATTCTTTAAAAATTGTTTATAAATATCATCACCAGCTCACTATACGTCCCCACCGAGGGGCTCGGAGCCTATCCTAAGTAAGGGGTGACTAGGCCATTGTCAACCACGCTGGCCAAGTGCGGGTTGGTCGACTTCACACATATCTTTGAATTTCTTCGCCGATATGTGTAGGTTGCATCACGATGTTTTCCGTCACCGTAAGAACGTCGGGTAAATTATGTACATATGAAAATTCGAAAAATCGAAAATCACATTGGTATAAGACGGGGTTCGAACCCAAGACCTGTTAATTCCAAGTCAAGTGCTTACACCACCTAAATATCGAAAGGAGAAAAATATGTGAATTGCAATTGCTTAATTCTTAATGCAAATAATAAACTGCAAGTTTGTCAGTTATCAAGTACTAATGGATTTATAATTTATTCTATTAAATAGAATTTACTAAGTTATTACATAAATTATTTTCGTTTTCCTTAAATGAATAAGCAAGTGGTGCGCCTTGTGGAAATTCAGAACAAGGTGCTCAAGTGTAATTAAAGTACATTAAGATCATAGGTTATTTGATGTCATAAATTAAAATTGGCAACACCGTTGCATCTTATAAGGACCATTAAGTGGCATCTTACAAATTGCGAGAGATGCGAGCGTGTGGGATGTTAACCATCCTTTTTCGGATAACCTAAAAAGCGCGCGAAAGCCAACGATATTGTATCTGTCAATGTGATTAACCGAGTGTTGCAAGAACAACAAGCGATATAATGTCACAACCAGGGATTATGGTTTTATTGTTTCGAAATCTCAACAATATGGCGATAAAGACATCCGTTACCTAATAATCGTTGCCATTTACGGAGTTAATGTTGTCAGTATCATCTTTCCTCGCTTACATTAAGCACATAACATACTTGCCCATGCCCATAACCAAACCAGGATATCCTTTTATCTCCAATATAAGGCAACAAGGTTTGGCGATATTTCAAACACCTTTTAAATTGCTTATATTGTTTGTGTTACAAAAGGAGCATTGACCTTTATGTAGTTTTAAGGCGATGTAAATACCAAAAACGTAATTTTGATTAAAACATTACAAATAAATTAATTTCGAAACATGGACATGTTCCTTTTAATCTATTACTTATAGTTCAAGGATTGGCACTACCCGCAGTACGTTACAACAGGTTTGCCAGTACGACATTTTGCGAAATTCTCGACTTCACTTACACATACTAATGCATTTATTTATACATTAAAGTTTGAAGTGAACGACCTAATATCAAGCTGTTAGAAGTGGTCTTATATTTTGAACACTTACAATCGTTATCGTTATACAAATAAGGAGTAGTGCACTCGATGTAGTACTTATGAATTAAATACTTATTTTATTGCGTAATACTAGTATAATTACTAGTATAATCTCTTATGAATTTTAATCTTTTCATTTTATATCTCAGATAACACATTCTATGCCAACACTATTTTCATGAATGAGATTCGGCAGCATTGAAAGTGTCATCATAATCGTCCTTGCTGTTCGTCTGGCCGTAAATGTTATTCAAGAAATATACTATTAAATCATCGAATCAGATATTGTAATTTATGATAATCGCTAACTTTCGCCTGCGACTCCGTCCGCGTGGAATTAAAAAAAGAAAAGTAAGCAGCCTATGTGTTATTCCAGACTGTGTTCTACATCTGTGTCAAATTTCGTCAAAATCCGTTCAGCCGTTTATGCGACAAACTCTAACAAACATCCATCAATCCAATCTTTCGCATTTATGATATTAGTAAGAAGTAAGATACATAATTCGAGATAGGCCATTGATTTAGAGTACCTATAATACAGATGACTTTGAACCTATCAATTTCGAGTATTCAACTTCAATGACAAACTTATATTAATCTATTGTATCGAAATTACGCAGAAAAGATAATAGTTGTTATCTTGACTTGACCTGTTATTGAAAAAGACCCTTGAAAAGTAAATATCTCCCCCAACAAATCTGCATTGACCTAAATACTGTACTTATCCTTGACTTAATCGACTACGTAAACATTGATAACATCTAAGCACTTTTTGTTTATAATAAGAGTAATTGTTTAGATTATAAACTGAATTGTTCAAATGTATACGTAATAAGAGACGTAATCTTCGTACCTTTCTAACTCTTCCCCCAAAAGTCAAGTGTTTTTTATGTAACAGTAATAACGTTTTGCATATAAAATCATTAGAACTATAAAATATGTACATATAAAAGTATTTTATGAAACGTGTTTTGCACAAAAAGAAAACTTCAAAAGGTCAACATCAAGAATCATCGAATAAAAGAATAAAAGGAAATTCTAGCGAATCGAATAATAAACAGGCAAAATATTAGGATTAGTACTTTTTAAACTAGTAATCTTATTAGAAAGTAGTGGAATACTATATGGCAATGTTTATCTGTTAACGATAGAACGACGACGGCTGAAAAAATAAAATAAAAAAAGAATGAAAACCTTTTTGCAACTATCGACACCTGCTATCTATACTATTATAATAAAGCGTTAATGCACACTTCTTTGTTACCTAAGATGTCAGCAATTACAGCATATTTTTGAATAATTATCTCATTAATAAAACGCCCTACACTTACGTCACGCTTTAGGCTATATATTTTCACGCCATTAAACTTAGGGGGTAAATATTTTGGATAAAATCCTAATGTGGGAAAGAGACCATATGTTGCTGCCAACATCAAGGAAGCAAAATTGTCAAGGTTTGTCATGTCATGTCATTTTGACGTCATCATCCACTTGCCCTTATCCCTTATGGAGGGTCGGCACAGTATGTGCTGCTCTTCCATACATCTCTATCAGCCGTCATATCTGAATCCACTCCTTTCTTAAGCATATCTCAACACTTTCTGGTTCATGTCATTTTGACATTTGACATGTAAATAATAAAATAAAATTTTCATAATATTATGCGGATGAAGTCGCATGGGAACAGCTAGTAGTTAATATCGCGTTAGGTTAAATATTGCACTGATATCATACATAGTTCAAGGTTATCGTAATTACGCAACTTTTTAATTTTAAATACACTTGGACATGACACTTATCGAGATGTTGTTCAACAAATGTAGAGAAATAAAAAGTTTTTTTTATATAATAAAAGGGGGCAAACGAGCAGCGTGAACACAGAGGTGGTCAACGACGCCCATGGACATCCGCAACACCAGAGGAACTACAGATGCGTTGCCGGCCTTTGAGGAAATGATAGGCTCGCTTCTTGAAGGACCCTAAGTTGTATTGGTTTGGAAATAACGCCGAGGACAAACCGGTCCACGATAGTTGGCCAATACTCTGGTTTTAACTTTTTTTTAATGTGACTAACACCTGGGATCCACTTTGGTTTTAAAGATTATAATCACAATCTTCAACGTAATCGATTAGAAATCTTTGTCATGAGTAAACGATAAAATAATCTTTATTATAATAAATGCGAAAGTTTACGTATGTAGATGTTTGATAGAAGCTAACTCTGGAATGGCTCAATGGATCACTAGGTATTGGGCAGAATTTAGAACATAGTTTGATTGAATATGGGCTACTTACTTTTTAATTTCTTAATCAAGCACTTGTTACCTACATATCAAGTTTGATCCCCGCAACTTACTAAAGTTTTTAGATAGCCGAATTTCGAATGGCAATTCGACTATTATTCATAATAATAACTGGATTACAATATAACTAAACTAGAATTTAGTGTTGAACCAAATTACTTGAAGATTTGAAATAGACGAAAAGTCAAAAAGAATGGAATGTTCTCTGTTGTGATTTTTAAATGTAGGTGCCATCAAATTTTTAGTTTCTTATTCCTTCTCTCTTTCTTATAGCAATATATAATTTTCAATATAGTATACACAAGTATATAACATACTTAATAAACATCAAGTGCAAAAAAAGTGTTATTACACAACTATCTAGACCCGTGAATGTTGGACAATGCTCTCAAAATCTCATTTACAGTTACATAAGAGACATTACTAGAGGCATTGCAGTACAGTGGACACATGTCAATAGTACATCTTGACAATGATAAATAAATCATTTATTTCACCGTTAAAATTTGTACATAATTTGTGACAAATTTATTCATATTTAAATATAGCAACTAATAATTACACACAGTAAATGAAGGATAATGTTATAAGTTTTTTTTGTGACTAACACTTTAATAATCCTTCACCCCCCCCCCTGTAACAACAGGTGAACCTTGTTTCATTGTTTCTTATTGTTTAAGCTTATTTTTTTGTATGGATAAACGAGTCATAACTGGGAATCAACCACAGAGGTAAAATATGAAATAGTATGTATTTTTTTTTGAGAAATAAGCAACAGGACTCTAAGAAAATATAAGCTAACATTAGAATAGAAGCTAATTTCAAACTTTATATCATATCCAGATAGTATTAAAAATAAATAGTAAATGTTGCTTGCAATGATAAAGTACAGTGTGTAGTAACTAAACTGTTTTGTTATGAAGGTTGAACTGTGAAAGTTAGTAGTCTGGAATCACTTTAAAGTTGTTTACTTGGCAAGTAGCAATATTACAATATTTCACTCACCTCTATATTTCCCATAGTCTGGAAAGCAGTAAAAACAAACATGAACCCGAAACCGAGTAAAATAACATTGAAAAATTTTCGCTCCATTTTTACTTTAATAAATATACTAGTATTATATAAAACACAAAGAAATAAACTAGAAATATATGGCGTAACACATTTAATAAATCGAAAGTTGAAGAAAGAGACTACAATCGACTAGGGGATATCAGTCTCGACTGACTTGCTAAGCTAAATAACATATTCCATTCCATTCTCCAATTGTTCCATCTCCCACCACAGCCTAATACCAATAAGAATTTCTAAACCATTAAATCGTTTTCGTTCTTATGCGTACGTGCATTAACGACTACTGCAAGTGAAGTATAAAACCTAACTACCAGTACCACTAGCAGCACTTATGATAATGTAAATATTGATAAATATGTAAATAAATAGAAAATAGCTTTGACGGTGACTTTAAATATCACTGTCACATTCAAACGTCATATGCTCATATGAGTATGAGCTGTCTATGTGACGTTTGAAAAATAAAAGTATTGCCATATAAAAAGAATTGTTCCTGAAAATATGGGTTGATTTCGCTTACAACGAAGGGGTGCGTGAGTGCGTGTCACGTTTCTTTAGTTCCTTTCACCATTCACTTTACTTGACAATATAATATATAAATCTTCTTGATGATACTTATTTGCGTCAGCTAATAACTCTTTGTTGGAGCCTAATTTACCCTTTTAAAATGCCTATCTGTTTAATATTGGATTTCTTTTTTGGTGTGGTAGGCCATTGCTTGGAAATGAACTGTATCTTTTTAATTCTAGCTAAAATGAGCCTGAAGACTTTGGTGAAAGTCTTTTTCTGTTATTACTTCAAATCCTTAACGCCTCTCGCACTTCTACCAATTGATACAGTCAGCGACAAAATGGCGAAAGTTGAACAAGCACAAAGCAACACTTTCTATAGCCCATCCGCATTTGGAAGTCAGTATAATATCTGTGCTGTAGCTAAAGCATATAACTTAGTCTGTGCTTGGTTTGAAGTTTTTCTATTTTTCCTATTCTTATCTGTGGTTTTTATTTTTCTCACTCATTATATTTTTCGAATATAAAGATCGCGTACACAAAATTTAACAGGAAAATTGACTGTTTCGTGTTTGTCTTGTTAATTATGGAAATGTAGTGCCTTATTGAACAACTACTGTTATGGACTTTTTGCTGAGCTTAATCTAACTTTGGTAAATGAGGATGATCTCATTGACGTGCTGACATTAGCGACGTTCTTTTCGGCGATTCTTGATCGTTTTATTATTGACTAAGTCCAATGACCTTGTAGCTGTATTAAAATCATCAGAAGAAGTTAAAATGAAGAAACAATTCTACAGGGTGAAGCAACTCGCCGATCAAACATTTTCGAGGTACCATTTTTATCTATCGCCAGATAAGACTCTTGAGTATGAACATGTAATCAACTGAAGTAGAAGTCATAAATGCCTTTATTACTAATATTTACTTATAAGAAAACTGTTAGTTTAGGAGAAGCAATTTAATTTTCTTACTAGTTAAATGTACAATTTTAAGTTGTTAATTTATTTATAGGTCTGGTAAAGGGGAAGCTTTAACAGATGAACTGCAAACTGCTGATAGAAAAGTGGAACATCTCCGAAATGCCTTACACTTGATAAGTAAGAGATTGGCCACTTGTGCTGGCAACACCCAGGGCCAAGATCCTGCTGCACGAGAGAAGAGACTAAAAAAGCTACCTGAATATTTGCTTGGCCTGTCTATGTGTGAAGCCAGTAACTTTGATGATGATGATAGTATTATGAAGTATATCCTGTATGAATGTGGTGAGTTAAGAGTTTTAGTTTTTTTTATTTGGAAAACAATGCAAACAATACAATAACTGTTTGAGTTCTATAGTAAAATTGCCTGTATGCATTTTATTCTGTATATACTCTATACAGGATACAGTTTTGTATACAAACAAATAACATTGAACCTGAGTTTTCCTTCTGTCCTGGGTTTGTTTGTTTTGTGTTCTCATAAAGGACACTTACATCTGTTCCTTATCTACATAATTAGTAAAATTTATTTTTAATTGCAATTTTAGAATCAATATCAAGTAATACTATATTTCAGGTAAAACAGAAAAATTCCTAGCTAATGAAATAGCTGAACACGAGTTAAAAGTTGAACAGTTAGTTTGTGCACCATTAGCAGCAATCAGTGATCAAGATCTGCCTGCAATTATGAAGGCAAAGAAACAATTAAGTCGCTTGATCAGCGAGAAGGAATCTGCAACTAGCAAATATCATGTAAGTATATAATTCAGGGAATATGTGTGAAGTCAACCAGCCCACAATGGACCAGTGTGGTTGACTATGGCCTAATCACCCCTGCTTATGGTAGTCTCCAAGACCCTTAGTGGGGATGTATAGTGAGCTAAATATGATGTATCTATACATATAATAAAATTGGAGTGTCTGTTTGTAATATCAAAAGAAAGATTCCAGATTTCAGGAAGATGTATTTGTGTTGCTGATAACGAAAATTGCATTTAACAAATTTCTGTCAGTCTGTCCGCAAGCCTTGTTTGTTCCGGGATAACCCTCAATCAGCTGGGCTGGTTTCGACCAGATTGAAGGGTAGCTGACATAAAAAGGCATATTTACAGACTACTTTTTTATCCTAATACTGTGTGGACGAAGTCGTGGGCAACAGCTAGTTTATAAATACATTTGTTACCATCAACCTCTAACAAGTTCATTTTAACACAAAGAAATTGTAGTGGCTTTGAAAGTGTTAACTAATCTATATATTTCAATTTAAAAAAACAATGGATATTAGTTATCATTTTTATCTATTTACAACTACATCAAAAATTCTAGAGATAAATACTCAAGTGTTATCAACATTGCCCACTGCTTTACTCATTATATCTGGCTATTTATGTAACATATCAGTGTCAATACAATATATATGTAGTGTGGGCGGACTGTGATAGTATTGAATTGTCATGTAATAGACAATTTTCGCACATTGTATAATTATTTTTGTACAAAATGATGTAACCTGAAAATTCAATGTGAAATTCATAGAATTTGTTTTCACTAAGATTATAATAATTAAGACAAATAATATTTAATTCAATTAACATATTAATACTAGCTGTTTTTCGCGACTTCGAAAACTATAGTCTATGTTACTCACTGATAACCTAACTTTTTAATGGGGAAAGAATTTTTTAAATCGGACCAGTTATGTTTGAGTTATTTTATTAAATACACAAATCCAAAAATACCAATCTTTCTTTATAATATTAGTATAGATTATACTTGTTAGAATAATAAAATACAATTTCATAGTCACCAATTTACTATCAAATATTTAAACCTAACAAAAGATCTAATTCAATTCATACCTGAGTGTATTTTATATTTTAAATATTTTTTAGAATCTAGAGCGTCAAAAAGAAGAGAATCCAGCAAAATTAAATGCAGCAAGGGAAGAATTGGAGGAGGCGGGAACGCGCGTGGAGGCAGCGCGGGACGCACTTGCTGCGGACATGTTTGCTCTTGTTGCCAAAGAAGCACAGCTCGCACACACATTGTTACAGTATGTTAAACTGCAGAGGGCATACCATGAGTCCGCACTGCACTCTCTGCAAGATACTGTCCCTGAATTAGAAAGATTTATAAGTAAGTTTCCTTTATTTTTTTTATTAAGCCTAAATATAGCCTATGTTACTCACTGATAACCAAGTTTTATAAAGGTGAATGAATTTTAAAAATTGGCCTAGTAGCTTTTGAGTTATATCAATATATACCAAAATACAAATCTTTCTTCTCTATAAGTAAAAGTAAACAAGATTAAAAAGTGCAAAGAGTGTTTGTAGAGGTTTCTCTATATTTCTGGATAATCCAAATTGTGAGGTCCTAAGAAACAAGTAGGATTCTTTTAAGTGGTATTTCAATTTTTTTTCATTTCATCACTTTATGACTAATTACTGTAATATTTGGGTAAATAACTAATTTCTTTGTTCACTTATCTTTATCACCTATTTGTTTGGTATTGTCATTAATGATACTTAAAAGATAAGTTTATTATCATTTAGTCCAAAGCAAACACCAATTGACCATTTGTTTGTTATGTTAACTATTTCAGAAAAATTTGATAACAGTTATCCATTTTCCTTAAAATATAAATATATATATTGACTTCTTATAGGCGTTATGTCCTGCAATTACCATGAATTTTCACTGTTGAAACACTTGACCAAAAACATAATGCTATCTCTCTTTTCTCATAGAGAATGAAGGAGAGGACAATATCTTTTTGTCTGTAGTTCTATAGTGGAAGCCCACGCACTATCGCTAATTCCGTCGGCAATTATCTCGTAGACAGTACAAGTTGGTCACTAGTAATTAATATGTGAGACATATCAATTCTGAGGAGCTAAAAAGTAATTAATAGGCCAATTAAATTGAACTAACAATGTTTCTTGCTTAATAGAATCATTTTATAAATTATCAGAGCCATTTGTCCAATTTAAATATGAATTATCAAATTTGTTTAATAATTTTAAACATTTGCTTCGAAGGTTTGGTTCATGTTGAAAATTATAAAACAAATTTTTTTATTTTTTAATAATTTTTCATTTACCATATATTCAACATAAACAGACACAATATCTCAGCATATTTTCCCTATTTCATAGCTTTATAATTTATTTTATACTATTTAGTTTTCAATATTATTATCTAAACAGTATAGCAATGTTTATTTTAGATTGACCTGAGAAAATACATATAAAGGATGTCATTGAAACACGATTGTATAAGGAAAACTTTGAATGATAAACATTTTAATAAAATGTTTGTCTTCGTGTCGTACTCGACCCGTGTGATATTTTGCTTTTAATAAGCTCTAGTTAGCATGAGTTAAGAGGGCTAATAGAGCAGCAGCCACACCCCCCAAGAGGAAAAAAATGTATACAATGAAATGTAAATTTATAAACATTCCCCTTGGAATAGAAAAGAATACTATAAGTATCCCCCACTACAGTAGACCATTATCTGGCAATGACCTTGCTGGTTACTCTTGTCCTCATCCCACTCTATGTAGGGACGGTATATAATTCTATCATTCATTATTTTTGTCATCTTTCCTTTGAAAAGCTACTGGACTGATTCAAAAAAAAATATATTACTATTAGTAGAAATTGTTATCAAAAGCCACTTCATACAAACATTGTGGTGTTATTACATTGTTTTCGATTAGTTTTTGTTCTACCTTCGGAATCTCTCTATCAAGTTATTGTATTTCTATGGTTTACTTACAGATGATAGCTCTGTGAAGCCAGTGTTCGGGTATCCGCTGGAGGAGCACTTGCGTGTCACCAACCGCACGATAGCCTTCCCCCTGGAGCTGTGCGTGTGCGCGCTGCACGAGCTTGCACTCAACGAGGAAGGACTCTTTAGGATCGCCGGTGGTGAGTTACAGTAACAACATAGATGTTTCCGAAACTTTACATTGTGTAAGTATTGTTTACAAGATGACGTGCATAACTTAGCTTTTTACTTATATATAAACTAGCTTTTGCCCGCGACTCTGTCCATGTAGAGTTATAAACAAATACAAGTGTAGCCTATGTTTTCCTCCAGACTATCTATGTCTATACCAAATTTTATCGAAACCCGTTTAGGCTACAAACTCTAACATCCATCCATGCATCCATCTAAACTTTGAAATTTATAATATTAGTATGATTTTATTTGTTTTTACATAGTTGGTTCGACAATGTGCAGGTCTGTCGAAGGTGCGGCGCATGAAGCTGTCGCTGGACGCGGGGCTGTTCAGCGTGCCGCTGCCGCGCGACTACCGCGACATGCACGTGGTGGCCTCCGTGCTGAAGTCGTACCTGCGCGAGCTGCCCGAGCCGCTGCTCACCTACCGCCTCTACGACACCTTCGTCGGCGCCTCGCGACACCCGCACGAGCAGGCGCGCCTCAACGCCGTCTGGGACGCCGTACACCTCCTGCCCCCGCACAACTACCAAAACCTTAGGTATCTCATCAAATTTTTGTCCGCCTTGACGCAAAATCAAAGCACGAACAAAATGACACCGTCCAACCTGGCGATAGTGATAGCGCCCAACCTGCTGTGGGCCGCCAACGAGAGCACCCTCGACATGTACATCACCAGCGCCGTCAACTGCGTCGTCGAGCTGCTCATCAAACACGCCGACTGGTTCTTCCAAGACGAGATCAACTTCTTCGTGACGTTCACCAAAGAGGATCTGTTGCCGGATCAGTGCGAGTACGGCTTCAGCCCCAACTTCGTCCACGGCTACAACCAGACCGCGGCGCTCGGGCAGGAGCACGCGAACGGCGACTACTCCATGACCAGGTCCATGTTCGACTACAACCACCAGCCCGACGGGCCCGGCCGCCACTCGCGCAGCAACAGTCACGACACTAGCCTTATATTAATAGATAACGATATCAAAAAAGCTCAGTCCAACAGCTCCCTGTCCGACCAATCTAGTCCGCCGCACGGCAGTCCCAAACCGACCATGAGACGGAAAAACAAGGCCCCGGTGCCTCCCAACTTCACGCCGGATAAAAGTAAGCAAAAGGCGGAGGCACAGACGCAAATAGTTGACGCTACAAAGGAACAACTGCCGGTCAAAGCAGATAACGAGAAGCCCGCCAAGCCGCCGCGCCCCGTCATCTCCGAGACCGGGAAAGTCATCACCGGAGTGCAAACTATCAACCGATCGACGTACCGACAGAGCAAGGCGTTCAAGGACGAGGCGGCCAAGAGCGGCAGCCGCGAAAACTTAACCGACGTCCGCAGACAGAGCCTGGAACTCGAGAAGGAGAAATTGGACAGTTTGAAACCGATAGAAAATCGAGATAAGGAGTCCACGTTGGTCGTGAAAAACGTCACAGCTACTACTGGCGTAGTGGGTAGAATGAAAGTGATAGGCGACGTCAGCAGCGGCCCCGCCTCCCTCGGCGCGGAGAGCAAGGGCGGCTCCACCAGGATACAGATCACGGCCAAGCCGACGGGCCAGCCGCCGCCCCGGCCGGTGGCGGCGCCGCGCACCATCCTGCCGGGCGGCGCGGCGGGCGAGGCGGAGGGCGGCGACGTGCAGCTGCGCCACAAGCCCGCGGTGCCCGAGCGGCCCGCCACGCTGCGTCCGCAGAGCTTCCGCGCGCGCACCTCCGCCGACAACGCGGACATCGCGCCCACCGTCCTAGAGCGCACGCACATATACACGGTCGACAAGCAGCACCCTACCGTTATACAGGTGGGCGGCGCGCACGTCGACCCCGCGCCCGAGGAGCCGACGCGCAACACCGTCCAAAGAACCCACAGCTCCGGCGGCAAGGACGCCGAGCTCGAGGAGCCCAAGAGTCTAGGCGCCAGTCGGCAGCTGTCGCAGTCGGAGGGCAGTATCACGGAGACGCCGTTGTCGCCGCGCGCGCGCCCGCCGCGGCCCATGGTGCCCGCGCCGCCGCCGCCCGTCGCCACGCCCGCCACGGCTGCAGCCACGCCTGCCGCGCCGCCCGCCGCGCCCGCCACGCCCGCCGCGCCGCCGCTCTCCCCGCCACACCACGAGAGTACAGACCTCTAGTCCGCCCCAACAGTCGCCATACGCTGTGACTACGACGATATGGGATCGTGCATTTGATTATGGAATTGATTTTAACCAAATTTAAGCCTTAATTAACGAAGCTTTTAATATTTGAAGTCATCAATGCAAATTTTGAATACTTTTTATTGATTTTTTCTTATATTACTAAATTTAAAGGTTAACGTGCAACTGCTACATTTAGTGAACGCACGAATATAAACGAAGATTTAAATACATGATCATATTCCATCGTGTTTCGTAAGCTCATTGTTTGAGTAATTATTTGATTTTTGTGAATACCTTCATTGGTCATCTAAAAGCGACTATAAAATCGGCATTTTATATTCCAGAAAATTTTAAAACAACGAGGCAGGAAACTCGTTTTATATTCTCTGCAGTTCGTGTTTAAGTATATTGTGAAATACATAACATTAAGAACACATGTAAAGTGTCCGTTTAAGTGTATTTAAATCTTTGTACGCAGTATTGGTAGGTATATAAAAGTATAAACGGTCGCAAAATGCTTTGCCGCTAAAATTAAGACGAACGATTTTAAAAATCGCAGACTGATGCCCTCTATTTAGAAGTAAATCATAGGAATCGGCTGATAATCGAGTATTATTAGTGCAAATAGAAATCAATAGTGCATAGTATATTTTGCATGGGTCAATTATTTTTTTAATCGTATATAGGTGAATGCATCACTGCCGGACTCAGAATCCATTGATTAAACTAAATGTACACTATAGGATGTCCTTTGTGGCCACTTAGAGTCCGGCAGTCAGTGATTACTATAAAGATGTATATAAATTTTTCAAGATTTAATTCAAATAAGAAATGTCACAGCAAAAGCTTTTGCATTGCACTGAGTGGACGTGAGTAAATCAGGTCTGAACCAGTTCAACAGATCAGTTCACCATTTTGACCCATTGATCTATGGCTCAATACTATGTATTATAACTGGAAGCTGTAGAGCTGCAAACTGGCAGATGACTCGCAACTCAAGCAAATCATACCTATATACAGGTATGAATGGAGTTGATCTGTGAGCCGGTTCACTGATCTGCTACATCCATGCGAACTGAGCTGCTCAGCTGGTGAGCCATGTGTAGCACTGAGTGGTCAATGAATGGGGTGTTGTACAATATAGAGATGTTACGATAATGCCTTGTGATATTAGGGAGATCGAGTCCACGGAGGGGATGCACAAAACGTAACGAGTTGTATTATGTGTAGCCATATTTTTATGATATTTTATAACTTGACAGTGCATTAGTTATTTTAGCCGCGCTATTACAGTGACTATAACTCTAGGCTAGTTTATGTTATGTAGTATTTACGACGTTTATGTGATACGCATTTTATTATATACTGCAAGTATACAAGCTTCTGTTGTAAGTAATTATAACGATTATATTCCGATATTAATGTTTTTTATTTCATCTTAAATACATTATGTTTGCCACTTGACTATGTAATAATTCCTTTTTCCAACTCTTAGTAATGATATTAGATTTGGTAGAATATGTGCAGATTCTGTTATAACTTCATTTATATTTTTTATTCTTTGGTGATTTATGTAGAAGCCGCCTGCTTGAATTATCCTCATTGCGTCACCTGAAATTAAATGAAGTGTAAATTAATGTTTATAATTAATTGTGAATAGAAATAAAATAAGATCCAATATGACAAGGTCATCACAGCTCTGTTTATATCCATTGGTGTATAAATGGTGGTGGTTTGAACCTAGAACCTGCAGGTTATAAGTCAAGAGCTTAACCCCTGAACAATGGTCAGTCACAGACTGAATGACTAGATACAATTTTTATATTAAAAAGAATAATTAATCTTGTATATTTTTATATGAATAAGGTAATGTACTAACCTTCTGTAGGGAAGCAGTTTGCCATTATGCCCAACTTGAGCACAGTGATGCCGGGCGATAAAAGTAGTTTGATAACAGGCGCACCATCAAACACTTGTTCTAAATCCGATGCGCTCAGGGTCACTAGAGATTTTACATCTTTACTGTATATTGCATCTGTTGCTTGTCGAGCTCGGGCAAGACCTTCCTCTGAAAATTTATATTAGTAAGAAAAATTTTAAATAAAATCACAAGCTTAAAAACAAATACCATAAAATAGTCTTATCATCTAGTTGTCACCAGTTTGTAATTTGTTAATGTTATGTTCATGTTAAAAGAATTAATTAGGGCACTAACATCTTTGACATTGTCTAAAGATTGGTAGGTATTGAAAAGTAGACTAATGTATAATTCAACCTTACCTCCATGCACTAAAGTTGTAAGTTGTTCAGCTAAGCATGTTTGTGGAAATCTTTGTTCTGGATGATGTTTATGCTTGTACATAATATCTTTGATTTCTCCTAAACTATAGAAAGTGAATAGCTTCAGTAACCTTTCCACATCTGAATCCTTAGTCCTGATAAAATATTGATACAAACTATATGGACTTGTTTTCTTTCCATCTAACCATAAAGCGTTTCCTGCAGATTTGCCAAATTTATCACCCTCTTCTGTTGTAACTAATGGCAGCGTCAAACCTGCAATAAGAACCTTTAAAATTATCGATTACACTGTTATATTTTGCAGAAATACATGACTAAAATAATAACAGTCTCACCATACACATCTTGCTTCATCATTCTAGTAATTAGCTCATGTCCAGCTGAGATATTTCCCATTTGATCACTTCCACCAATCTAAAAATCCATAAATGTAAAAGATTATAACAATTTTCATTCAGTTAATAAAATAGTTAAAACTAAAGTCACTTTGCATAGTTTATGAGGAATTATAAAGGTAATATTTAAAATGACTCCTTTAATACTGACCTGAAATCTACAATTGTATTCTTTTAATAAATGTAGCCAATCATACGACTGAAATATTTGATATGAAAATTCAGTAAAACTCATTCCTACGTCAGAGTTAATCCTGTTCTTAACGCTTTGCTTTAACAGCATTGTTCCCATTCTGAAGTTACGACCAATATCACTCACAAATTGTATTGAATTGATCTCTTTATACCAAGTTTCATTGTTCACAATCCTTGAAAATTATTAAATTAAATAAAAAGTGTTTTTTTTATAATTATTATCTGCTTATTCCATACAAAAATCAATATGAGATAAAAAAAAATACCGTATAGGTTTTAATTTGTCTTCATCTTCTGACCAAATATATTTCTTGTGGTTTTCAAATACTGTTTCCAGGTTACTTTTAATGCATGCAATATTGTCAGCTATTATGTTACTTGCTAATGCCACACGATCTGTACTTTTTCCACTTGGATCCCCAATGTGTCCTGTTGCACCACCAAGCTGTAAAACATAGTTGAAACTGTATAAGACATTTGTCTCCCTTATTGAGGTTACTCCCTGATCTTGTTCTTGCTTATCGAGGTTCAACTGTGTTTGTAAACATATACATTACTCTTTATTAAGTATAACATTAAAAAGAATATTGATAGTATTACCAATGCAATGACATCATGACCACCTCTTTGCCAGTGTAACAAGTTTATAATAACAAGTAGATTTCCAACATGAAGACTGTCAGCTGTAGGGTCAAATCCAGCATACACACACTGTGGAGATTTGTTCAATAGATTAAGAATATCAGATCTAAAAGATAAAAACAATTCATTCATAAAATTTCCTTACAAAAGTTGCTGACCAAAGTTGTTTACTTACGCCGCTGTATTTGGAAATACATCTTGATACATTCCTCGATCTTTAAGCTTTAAAATATTCCTACTATATAGTCGTACACATGTTTGTGTAATATTCTTGTAATGTACGCGACAAAAATGCTTAAAGTATAGCATTTTAACAAATTAGATTGCTATATAGGTTAGAAAAGCATTTGATAAAATAACCTGAATTCTTCTAACATTTGTGTTGTGACTCGCGCAATTATGTTATTAGTATGTTGTGTAACTACGGCGATACTAAAATTAAACGGACTTTGCTGGTTTATTTTTAAAAATCACCTTTTACTTTTAACTGAGTTTACATTTTTTTGACTCAAACTGATAATTTGACAGTTTGACAGATGGTTCAGCTGATTGACAACTGAACAAAAAAGTTTCAATTCACGCACATAACCATGTTTGATTTAAAAAAATGTGCCAACATTTTAGTAATACTTCTGTAACGTTGCAAATTAATTTACTTTTTACTACAGAAAAACTAGACTTGAGAATTCCTATAAGTATGACAGTTCTATGTTGTGTTTACGAGGATACTCTAGTTTCTCTTAGTTTCAATAAATAACAAAGACGCGGACAGAAACTTGAAATAATACTACGATGTCAAAATAAATCAAACAAGTCAAGTTCTAGAGTTTTATTCATCTATCTATAAAATAGTCCCTTTAATTTAAGCATATTATACACTCGTTATTCACAAAAGCTTTGGAAAATATTCATAACTATCATTAAACACTTTTACATTATAGTAACAATGTGAATTTGCAATTATATCTAGATATTTATGAATTTTAAACAAGCAACCAGGGAAATCATTAACGTACAATAAGATCTATGTGAGGGTTAGAATTTAAAATAACTAAGGTAAACTGAATATGTCTTAAAAAACATTAATGTCAAATCTTATATTTAACTATGGTAGTGCTTCTACAAAACTTATAAATAAGAACTAACATGCACAAGAATTAAGTTTTCTTTTGAGTCAGAAACTAAATATTGGAATCGATTTTTTTCTTTTCTTATAAAAACATTCTTTCAAAAATACCAACTTTCGTATATTACAATTTGCACACAATAAAATGGATTAACTTAATAACTTTAAAAATTAAGCCTAAAATCGAAATTAATCTTCAAGTGTGACATTTTTGAACAGATAGGACATAGATTCTTTGTTATGAATGCGTCTGATAGCTTCACTGAGGAGTACTGAAATATCTATAGTTTTTATTTTATTGCATTGCATTTTCTGAAGCTCATGTGGGACAGTATTGGTGACCACAACTTCATCTATCGGTGAATCTTCAATAAGACGTGGAGCATCAGACGACAGAAGGCCGTGTGTTGCCAGCACATAAATTTTATAAGCACCACATTCCTTCAATACTTCTGCTGCAGCAACAAATGACTGAACATCATCAATCATATCATCCTATAAATTAGACACAAATTTAATTATAAGCTACAAGATTATAGTCTAGATATTAGTAAAAAAAATATATAACATACCACCATAATGGCAATCCTTCCTCCCACATCTCCAACAACATTGATAGGTGGCTTCTCCTTAGCGGGATGTACCGGTACACCTACTGACACATCCATTGTACGGGACCTGTCAACACTAAAAGCACTCTCAACTATGTAGTAATGTAACATAAACCATGCTTAAAAACTTGAAAACAAAGATAATCTAAATTGTTCTTCCTGGAAAAAATTAAATGTAAAATACATAGATAAACTTGTATTTCTGTTAACTAGCTTGAGAATTTAATTGATTTCTTGTTATTATTTTTAATACTTAATAATTTATCCTACTATTGAGAGGAGATTTGTATTTTTGTATGTATTGAAATAACTCAAAAATGACTTGGACAATTTTAACTTTAAAAATCGACAATATCAGTGACATTGCTATGATTTTTTATTCTGTTTAAATTTCATACAAGTTGCGAACAATGGCTAGTATACCGTATAAAAATATTAAATCTTACCTTGGAATGCAAGGTGGTGAGTAGCGTCCATCAACTTCATCACTTTCTGCTTCCTTCTGCTCTCCATGTATTACAGCAATCCCAAGACGTAATCTCTCAGCATATGACGTGGCCTTCTTAGCGGAACCCGGGTTACGAGCCACTATCACTGAGTTACGGTAATCAGGTATCTGTGAATCAAATTTTTATATTTAATTCTAATATACTTCTATAGTAAAGTCTGGTGGGTATGAATATTTTGCTTACAACTTAGTCTGTGTGGATTTTAAGTAAAACTTAGTAACTTATGTGTTTTTCCATAGTGTTCTTCATCCAAATTCATGCAAGCATTTTCTCAATAATGTCTAATGAACATTCACACATCCAAATGTCGCTTTTATAGGTCTAGTAAGATTTGTTATAAAGAGGACACCATGTTATACAAATTCAAACTTTATTAATAAATTAACAATTAACACAAGATAGTTTCTCTTATAAGTGTTATTTATGATTATAATACTATCATCATGCACAACTTATTCCATCCCAATATGATGTGGGGACTACAATAGTTGAGTGAATGAGCATTTATTAAGCTAGTATGAATCATATTTTAATCACAATGTTACTTAATATTAGATGGTATTGTAGTCAAGCACTGGCTTATGAAACATTAAAAAAAAACAAGTGTAAACAATTTTGATTCAAAGCAAGTTGGAAAGTAGAACACTCACACTTTCTTGTATGTACTGCAGTAAAAATGGTGAAGCCCTCAAGTTGTCAACTGGACAATCATAAAATCCCTGTATTTCTTTTTGATGGAGGTCCATAGTGATGATGTGAGTTAGCCCAGATTTGCACATCATTTGTGCCAAAAGCTTTGTGACGATGCACCCGCGTTTCCTCATTTTGCATTGTTTGCTGTATGGTAAGTATGGAATAACCCCAACAATGGATCGTGCTGATGATGTTTTGCATGCATAAGCCATAATTAATAGTTCCATTATGTTGTTGTTTACATCCCTGAAAGTGTCATGCTCAAAATATAAACTAAATCTAATGCACTCATTTATATTGTAAATTTACATTTTTATTAACTTTTTGTAAACATTACAAATATTGACACATTTAAAATTTTAGAAGAATTACATGATTGTCAGCATTGATTTCTGAAATATAAGAATTGAATTATCATATTTACTTAATTCAAATGGATAATGAAGTTGAAAATTAAAAGATTTCTTACTTTGTGCCAGTTTGAACAATGTAAATATTTTTGCCTCTAATCGAATCCGCAATTTCAACCATAGTTTCTCTGTTAGTTTTATGATATACTGAACATCCTCCTTTACGTACGCCAAGGCGGCTGGAAATAAGGTATGGTTAAAATTTACACTAAATATAAAATTAGTTAAATGCATATAGTAATAAAAAAATAATTACTCAGCGATCAGGTCGGCTAATTCAGGATGCGAATTGCCGCTTAAAATAACAATGTCCGACGTGGAATTGTTCTCCATATTGCTCTTGCGAGAATGATTCGTAAATCCAACCAACCTAGGTAAAAATAATATTTGTGAATATAAACAAGTATAAAACATGTGGTTATAAATGGGTGTGGATAAGACAGCACGAGAGATCAAGAAGAAAAACAATAAACCTGGTTTTGTTGAGTAACATAATAACCTGAAGGCAAACTTGAACAACAGCCTACTTAAATGTTACAAAATAGACGATTATTCAAATGCAAGCAGATGAAGTTTTCAGCGGGGCTATGTTTAGATCTCACAAATTGATAATTCACGATTTCTGTAAAGAAATAATATTAATAAAAGGTAATATTAGAGATTTAATAAAAATGTTTTAATCATTTTAACGACAGCGAGTCAGAAGACAGGGATAGCAAATGTCAAAGAGTAAATTAACCCACAGGTTTGAATCTTTTCGTTTGTTCAAGTGTTGCATTGTATTTTTTAAAAACAAACTTAAACTCTCCACACCACATGATGATTTATATCCAAATAAGGTTGTACTCTAATTTTTCGCAAAATAAAAATGCAAACAAGAAAACTATTTCACAAAAAAGCTTTTGTTTGTCCTTGTTTTTTAATTTGTGTTGAGGTTTACTCTTTGTGTCTACACATAATGTCAAAGTCATTTGTCAATGTCAAATAGTCAGTCCCCCCCCCCTGTGCACAGCTTTCAAAACAATGTGGATTTTTCAGCATTTGTGATTTTTGGTTATTTTAAGAAACACAAAATAAAATGGGTCTAACAAAGCAGTATTTACGGTATGCTCCAAGTGGTACCTTTAATATTATTGCCAGTCCTGATTGCAATAGCGCACACGTATCATTAAATGGAATCAGTGGAAGATATGTTGCGGTTGGTGCGTGTGAGCATGTTATTATTTGGGATATGAGAATAGGAGAAAAGGTAAAAGATCTTTTAATGCTATTAGACACTTTAACACATTGTCTTTAATTTATTGAGCATTGAAAAAGTAATAAATCATTTTTTTTTTCTTGATTATTGTTTTAAGGCTCAAGTAATTCCTGGAGAAAATGTGGTCGTATCACAAATAGCTGCCAGTCCGACAGGCAACCACATGGCAGTAGGCTATGTTGATGGCAACATAAATGTATTTGAGTTGACTAACAATGAAATTGTATGTGTCTTTGCTGGTCACAAGTCTTCCGTTACAAGTTTGCAATATGACGAACAGGGGCACAGGATTGTTTCTGGATCTAAGGTAAGACTGGCTAACTTGGTTTTATAATAAGATTAATTTGTAGCTAATAACTGGATGTAACTTGATGTACAGTATAATTCTGTTACAAGTTATTTTAGAAAAACCATCTTTTAAATCCACATCTTCACCAAGATCCTACTATGTTATAACAACACCATATATGGTGTTATAGTTGAAAGAGTGTTTACTTGCTTAGTAACTTAAATTTGTTAAGAAATTATTGACAAATGTGTTTAACAAATTCAATACTTGTATTCCAGGATACTGAAGTAATTCTCTGGGATGTGGTGTCAGAAACTGGTGTTGCTCGATTCAGTGGACATAAAGGTGCAATAACAAGTGTACTGTTTATTAATGGCAAAAACTGTATAGTTAGTTCATCAAAGGATACATTTGTCAAGTTCTGGGATATTGAAACTAAGCACTGTTTTAAAACATTAGGAGGACATCAAGTAGAGGTGAGCTTTTTTTTTTTTGTAATTATTCATGTTATTAGAATGTGACACGACAAATTAAAACAGCAGAAGAATTTTATTTAATTATACAAGCTAATTTTTGTTAATGTAAGGTTAATATTTCTTAAAGGTGTGGTCAGCAGTATTATTAAAAGAAGAGAGATATTTAGTAACTGGCAGCATGGATCAAGAGTTACGTGTGTGGAAATTGAACTGGACAGATAAGATGAAAGAGGAAGATAAATTAGTACAACAGCTTGAAATAGTGAAGATTGAAGAAACAGATAATACTGATGATACTTCCGTAAGATCATTGAATAATTAATTAGTATTATTACAACACTAGCTGTTCACATGCGACTTCATCCGCATAAAATTATGAAAATCTTATTTTATTGTGTACATTTGTCAAATTATCAATTGCAAATGTCAAAATGAGATGACAAACCGTGACATCCTTGCTTCCTTAATGTGGGCAGTTTGTAGTTTATGGTCCCTTTCCCACATTGTTTTTTTTTTCCTATTTATTTATCCCCCAAGTTTAATAGCTGAAAAATATATAGCCTAAAGCATGTCGTAAGTGTAGGGCTTTTTATTAAAGAAAGAGTTATTAAAAAATATGCTGCGATTACTGACATCTCAGGCTACAAAGTATTGTGTGTTTACGCTTTATTATATTAGTATAGATTATTAACTGCAATTGCTTTTACTAGTAAATTAAAAACTCGGAGTATTACATTAAAAGAAATCCTTAGCTACATATTACTAATGTTGTCAGCGCCTTCGTGCGGAAGTAAAAATTAAAATAAATGTAGCTTATGGTGCTCAATGAAAACATGGCTATTTATTGATGAAAAAGTTTTTGGAAGCGGGCCAAAATGTTTTGAGTTGTGTCTACACATAAAAAACATAGAACTCTATATTTATAATATTAATATATGGTAGATATAGATTTATAGTGTAAAAGTGATATTGGATATAAAATTTTCAGGTTTTGCAATGTCATCAAGTTGGCACATTAGTACGCGGTGGTAGGGGACGAGTGGTGGGACTCTGTACGGACCCCGGACAGACTGTACTTGGCTGTTTTGGCACAGACTCACTATTAGAGTTGTTTATCTTCTGCTCCGATGAAGAAGCGAAAGCGAGGATGACTAAACGAGTTAAGAAGCAGAGGAAGAAACTTGTGTTAGTATTTATAACTAAGAGATGTCTCGTTTTATGTTATTTTATTTTTAAAATGAATGAGTTTTACGTTCATGTCTTGTTCCTTAAATAGTTTATAGTATAAATTTGCTTAATATCTTTAATTATTGAATTATGTGTGATTTCACTTAATTATTTCTTATACTATGACAAAATAAACAACAGTTCAATAAAGATAATTTGTATCATATATCAGTAAACTGAAAGAAAATGGCGAGGCTGACGAGGATACTGTGGAAGTGAAGGAGCTGCTGACATTATCCGACGAGGTGAAGCGACTGACATCAGTTAAATTGTCAGCTAAGATGAAGTCGGCTAGCTTGCTGCTTGGTACGACGGGCGAGCTGCGAGTGGCCGTCACTTTAGCTAACAATACAGTTGAAATGCATAGCATGAAACTAGGAGAGGAAAATGAAGGTGAGTACATATTTTTTATAATTACTGGTTTCCTTAAGAAGGTATATTTAGTAAAAAAAGATGTAGTTGTCTTTTAAGTTAGTTTATAGACGATAAGTTTAAGGCTTAAGGCGATTGTGCTTTATCGTTTGTATTGAGCTCTTGCTCGCATGCTTGAGTAATGCTTTTTCATTCATAGCATTTTTCAATTTACCACGTTATCACGACAAAAAAATCCATATGTTAATTAGGACTGAGTGTCTAGTTTCTAGATAGTATTTACTGTAATAACCTTGTATGAATTGATTATTTTTTAATTGACGTTTCAGTGAAATGTTTGAAACAAATAACGCAGCCGGGACACCAGAAGGAGCCGCGCTGCGTCGCCATCAGTTCGGACAACCTCGCCATCATTTCCGGAGCCGCTGATTCTATTAAACTGTGGAACCGGTATGTATTTTATATCGTTGGTTCATAAATCACCTTTTATGGTAACATTAACAGAATGATATTATACTTTCTACTTCATATTAGATTATACTCCATAACTATGCCAAATTTCACTTTAAAATACCTTTTAATAAACATTAATCCATCCGAACTTTCGCATTTATTATGTTGGTATGAATTATTACGATTTACCTTTCTAACAAGTCTGTGATAACAGCTGAGACATGCTTTAATCATCTATTTGAACACTGAAATCTTCATAAGTTTTTTTTTTTCTTATAATGAAAAGGAGGAGGATAAGTACGTCTTGAGCAAAATATCGTTACATTAATGAAATGTTGCGAAATAAATCCATAAGCATTTTTGTTATCATTACCAAAAGTGCTTATGGATTTTTTTTTGTTTGGTTTGCTTATGGATTTAAATGGATCGTACATTATAGTACAAGTCAGGCGTGCATCCGGACTATCCCAGTGGCGTGCGCGCGGCC